ACCAAAATGTGCCGCTGTCGTTGAATGGTACCACGTACTGCAAACTGGTTGCCTTCAACAGTTCCACAGTAATACTTTTCTTGTGAAAAAGTAAATAATTTTGGGGAATAGGAACTCTCTTTTGTAGCAGTAGACAGAAAAAGTCTCAGTAAAATCATGGCTGTTCTATCCCCATTGTAACCTTTAATATACCTGGCACAACGAGGAACTACGAAGCGCATCTTGAAACCGTCAAGCTTAACGAAATCCGACGATTATATCTGCAAAAAAATTGACGTGAGAGTTTAAGTCGAAAAGGCGATCAATTCAGACTTGTCTAAAATTTTGAAACAAAGATTAAAGACTTTTCAACAAATGCTTGACAGAATAAGGTTGATTAATCAACATGACGGCAAATCAAATCCGCCTGACAGGGAATGCGGGCACTAAACTTTAGTTAGCAAACAAATGTTTCTCCTGTCTTCTTCTGCTAGGAATTCTAATCGTTGAGACAATCGCTTCCGAGAGTAGCATCCGGTGGGAAGACGCGACACTGCAGTGTTTTGTTGTTCGAAGTGCCAGATCTGTCGGCAATTCAAATTTGGATTTTAAATGGTCATTCGTTGGCAATTCACGCAATCGTGAGATCTTGGATTCCGGAAGATATGCCATCGACTATGACGGGAAGAGTAGTAATCTAACGATTCGTCTTGTGGATTTCGCCGATGAGGGCAACTATTCCTGCCAGGTCAGCGATTCCCATGTCGTACGCTCTAGCCATTCATATCTGTCTGTCAGTGGTGAGTACTTGCTGTTTTAACCCAACTCAGCTATGTCCTAACAAGGGCGGATGAGGGCCGGGGTTAACGAGGGGATGGCTCCCCAATTTTATTCTTGAACTGATGAAAAGAGACTAGTTTGCTTTGTTTCACTTCCCTCCTAAAAAACAGGCGCCAAAAAGTACCAAACATGTAGCCTTCACCCTTAGAAATGCGATAGATTACTTGAAAAGAATTCAAACATAATTGGCCCTTCAAAAACATCTTTTGCCCCTTCGACAATTGGGCTAGAATCCACTTTTGTCTCATAACACTGTTACAAGTTCTCGAGAGATTCCAGCAATGAGAATCTCTGCTTAGCTATGACAGATTTGGCAGAATTTGGTATAAATTTCAATACAGTCTTTACGTATATGAAGACTTTACTTCAACTGAAGAAAATATGTCACAGTTATAATCTCATTTTAGACACAATTTATTCGGGGAAAGGGCTCCCTTTGTAAAACTGATAACCGAGTAGAATTGTCTCAACTGGAATCGCCTTAAATGTGGTTCTAAAACATTTGGAATGAAAACTTAAAACTTTCTGCACGTAGAAAAGAGACACGGTGGTCAAGGACTTAAAGGTCTCTCTTAACAATCGAGTATAAGATACCTTCTTCATCTTAGACATTTGAACTTAGATTAAGAGGCATCAAAACATGTTGAACGTTGTGCAAATTACATGCTTGTTAATTTTAAATGAACCTGTTAGAATTCCGGAGTATTTATAGGCTACTACCATTACCTTCCACAGAGCCACCTGAGATTGTGTACATCATGAACAGTTCTTCTGGGAACATTTTGAGCGGAGATGTGTCCATCTCTCCCAGCCTAAACCACACCTTCACCTGCCTCGCCACAGACACCAGACCGGCAGCAGAGATTACCTGGACTCTCGACGGAAGGAACATTAGTGGGCAGACCGGTGTTGTTGGGATGGAACTGAGGAACACGAGCAGTGTGGTCACTGTGCTGCCGCTTGCAGTCTGTCAGCAGAGAAATCTAACGTGTACGGCTACCGGCTCAGGCAGGAGCATCGCTGTGACGGTTCGCTTGTCATGCCAGGATGCCGGTAAAGTTTCTTTCTGTTTTGTGTGTGGGTGTGTGTGGGGGGGGTGCATTCCTGTGGGGTATCTAGTGCATGGGGTGGGTGGGTAGATGGATTGGGTGTTTGTGGGGAGGGGATTGGTAAGTTATTTNCCCTAAGACACGTTGGAATTTGTACGTTATGTAGTTGTAGGTTTTTGGAGGGGGCGATGGTTGTTTGTAATTTAAATGCTAGCACAGACGGCGCCAGCACACTCAGGACAATTCTTGTGCAGAAAAAAAAGAATTGGGCATATGTTTTCAAGAAAATCTATCTAACCACACCATGGATACGCCACCAGTGCATTCGCTTCGCCAAGAGTGATGAAAATGTTCAATGGACGGTTTAAATGTAAAAACGGGATGTGGACGCCATTATCAAAACGTTGTTTCATTCCTGTTTTTATAACCAACAAGCTATGAAATCGGGAGATCTCGTGCTTTATAGTTATCAAAAGGAATTTCTTTATTAATTTAGCTATTGTTAAACATCCGTCATACCAATACATGTATGAGTACATCAATGGCGTAAACATGAGCTAGGAAATGAGTGGATGATTACCCTGCCACGACAATTCAAAAAACGGGGTGAGGGTGACACCTTATGACCACTATAGAGATTGATGTTCATGCTATAGATTTACATTTGTACCATGAATTACATTCGTGCAGAAGCTTACATCAGAATAGCATATTTATGGCTTTTTAAAATAATTTTTCCTTTTTTGAGTGACATTGAATGTATTTTTAGGAAGTCCAAAAAAATCTTCAAAATACGCTTTAGTTTTTTTGCTCACCACTAATATGTGTGTGTGGGTGATGATTCAATAGCCCCCCCCCCGTGGGTGTGTATATACCCCTATTCCCGGGATTTACTCCCATGGGTTCCACATGAATTGACCTACTTAACCCCGATCGTGACTTCTCAGTATGATGGACAAGGTTGATGTGTAAATTTTTATTGTCTTTGGCAGCATGTCAAATAACAAAAAAATTGTGAATGAACAAAATGCGATTTGTATAGTGATGCATTCTGACTTTGAGACCCCTAAGTTAAACATCGAGTAGAAATAAACCATTGTCATTAATCATCAAGAACGCAAAAGCAAGTCCTGTATCCAAAGAATTAAGGAAGCTAGCTGTATAAGTGCGCTACAATTGTGATGCAATGCCAGAACGTGACAGCAATCCGAAACTTATTTTGTTTTGATTAGACCTTTAGGAAAGAAACCATTAACAGCCAAATTGAAACCAAAACATATGCAGTTGATTTATGCACTGCAGCTGTTTTGAATTGCTCAAACGCAGCTCGTAGTAAAAAATCACAACGACCAAAACCTCAATAAGTAATGAAGCCACAGAGCTAACTTCTTTTATAGGGAAGACTGGCTTTAATCACAGTAAAATTACAAAAAAATTCTCTGCCAATTCAATACCTGTTGAATGCACCCTTATCGACTAGAATAGCCTTCTGTTCTTGATTCTCATATTGTAGCTTATATCGTCTCAGTCATTTTGTTGCATGTTGAATAGAAATGTTTTCCCCGTTGTTCAGACTCTACAGCACAGACAAGTCTGATCTTTGTTTGGATCGCTGTCACCACTGTACTTCTTCTTGGTCTGATTATCTTTGGGGTTGTCTGCTGGAAACGTACAAAAGGTGAGCTAGGATATTTTCTGTTCGTCTTCGTGCAACTGCTCTGAAAGGTGTGAAAGGGGACGGAGCACAGCTTTCAGGGGGCGGTAAAGCAGATCATTCAATAACCATCCACAAGAAAAGGAGCCAGGGTGAATGCCTAGTCATTCAACTTATGGAAACTGATTATTTTTTTCTTTCCCTTGTCTACTTATACTCTAATGTCATAATTTTTTAGTTCCCCTATCAAAAAAGTGACTTTTTGTTTCCCCTGGGGCACCTTTTACTCCCCTTCAACAATGCTCGTCAAGTGTGCACATGCAAAAAACCTAAAGATATCTTTAGCCCCATAATCTGAAAATCCTGACAAAATGTGCCACAGATGGCTTCTTTGCTTAAGCGAAATACTCATTTGCAACTCCAAAGTTAACTCAACTGTTCCTTCTCTATTTTGACAAAAGCAGAAGCGTGCAGCCTCGGCATGCAATGGCGATCCCCTTCAGATAAATGTCAACGTTACAATAACAAAACAAGTGAAAGTTATTGTTAATATACTGCTTGAATTGAAATATCGTTATATAGGCCCGCTGATTCAATGTTCCAGAACATTTGGGGAGTTTCCACTGGCTGGTCAACGGATACAAAGTTGTGCTTAGTATCACTGAAGAGTTTTCATACCATCTCAATACATTTTTTCATCATGAAACTAGTGTGCCAAACATGAGTGCTTAGAAAATAGTGTAAAGTTTGTCCTCTGATCAATTCCTCACCTTCATTTTCTGTTTCAATTTTGCAGATAATTACCCCGTTGCAAACCAGTAAGTAGATTAACGATAGGGCTTCCTGCTCTCGTAATGCTAGAGTTGTCGGATGGTCATGCAGTTAAACTTCAATCTTGTGTATTATTATTATTAATACAGGTTAATTCCATCTTGTTTTGCAGCCAGAGGCTGAAGTGCTCAACATTGCTAGATATTTGTACAGGTTACTACACACACACATGCGAAAATTTACAATATTTAAAAATGCATATGTAAAAAATTAATAAAAAAGGACAATAGAAACCTAGAAAAAACCAGGTCAACTTATCTGCTATTCAACAGTCTAGTTGAATATGGGATAGGGCTATTGTGGAACGTTTTTGTTAAGCCGTGAAATCCTTCGATCACACAAGACGATCTCTAAGTAACTGAATGCCTTCTATTTGGTTGAGGAAGTAAGAATTCTTTCAGTATGAATTGTGTATATCCCAATAAATGATACAAAACTTGTAGAGAAAGATCTGCAATGGAAAAAACTCTTGTGACCAAATACTGAACAAATGACGGAACAGGATTAATGCTGGAAATTGAAAGATTATCAATCAACGATATGGCTTTTGTCAATCAATTAATAACGGATAAGGTCTGTAAATTTAATGTTGTAAACATTTCGCTCATTTCAGGTTTGCTGTTCGCTACAGACAGAATGACACCACCAGATCAACTTCCTCAGCGGATTCTGACTCTCACACACCAGTAAGACCATTAGGTAAACTCGAGTTTACATTGTGGAGCTCGTCAGTGATGACTGAATTCGCATAACGTGTTCCTCCGTCTGAGACTGGAGTCAAATGAACTCAAAGTTGCAGCATTCCGAAAGAATGGTGATCAACTTTAACTATTTCTATTAAAACATTGGTAAAATTCCAGATTTTCTCTCTCTCTTTTCTTTTTGTTTCAGAATCCTTTACTACGGTCTCAGAAAACATATACGGAGAGAATAACCCTTTCGCGGCTGCGAGCAGCCTGCCTTCTCCTGTCGCACCGCCCTCTGTTGTCGTCAACCTAGTTCAAGGCACCAGGGATGTTCGACGCAATACTCCTGGTAACCATATCACACTTGAATCAGCCGGTTTGCCTGGAAATAGTGCACTGTATTTTGGAGTTGTCCAACGGCATGTGAGGTTGGAACTTTTTCAAGCTGGCAGATGTGCCTGATCTTAAAAACAAAACATTGACCCAGGGTTCACTTGTCAGCAATGCAGAATTCATTCAGGAAAATATTTGGTCTGACCTTCTTCTTTCAGGCAGTGAAACAGCAGGGCCTTCTGTTAACCTCTACGACCCACAAGGTATCCCTTCTATCAGCAGCCAAGAACAGAGAGTCTTAGAAGTGAGTCAAAGTAAAACATTTAAAGGCCTAAATACATGTAGTTCTGCGTAAGTACTATAAAAAGGGTAGCACAAAAAGTCGTTGCTTTCAGACAAGTGAGCTTTTTTAGAGAATTTGTCGAGCAACGTTTCTCTACTCTTCTTGGAAGTGTTTTACAAAGAGAATTTTTAGGATTTTATGTCTGATTAGAATCCCTGGGAACTTAGGTAATGTTCGTGACTCTTTTGAGCGTAACAAAATTACTGTTAGTTGGTGTGATGCAATGAAGTGTTGGCTTGTGGTATTGAAATCTTTTAATCTTTACGTTTTGCAGACGCTCATCTTCATGGATGTCTTGTGTTGTCTGTAACACTTCCTTTGAAGTACTTCGGGCATTCATTTCCCAAATAGGAGGAAAATGCCAACTCTTTAAACACTTATAAGAATTGCGAGATGGCATTTCCATGACGTCATCGCAGTATACTGGGTACATGAATCGAACCGACCGCCTATAGCAAGTTTGGTAGTGCTAAGTGTTGTCTTCTGCGCGTTTTGAAAAGTCGCATTTTTAAAAGATGTAATAATGCGTTAAGAGTCTTTTGCTAATAGCTTGTGCATGTTTAGAAACCATAACTACGGCCTGGTAAAAAGAATTAAAGAAAACACCGTGTTTGGGTAGGAGCATGGTCTGTTATGTACAAAAAGCAAACATTCCGGAATATCTATATACCAAAACAATCGGACAAACAGTTCTTTGGATATTGGACGTTTAATTATGCAGCTTTATGATGACATCTCACGACACTTGACGATGTCATTATGACGTTGTCCGTCCGAGGAGACACCATTTCCATCGCTGCAACACACCAACCTGGACGCAACCCCGTTCCAATGGGTATAATCTTGCCGCGGCAGTAGTCAATACGGGCGATTCACAGTAGCGTGCCCCCAAGAGTTTGGAACACGTTGGCCAATCATTACGCGCGAAATTTGTCGACCCTTTCCAAACATGCATTGGGTCGACAAATTCCGCGCATCGTGATTGGCAAACGCGTTGCAAACTCTTGGTGGTGCACAATTGTAAAACGCCAGAAGTGCGTGAACGTGCTCAGGTTAAGGCAGCTGTGTTAGTGTAAATGGCCCCTCGGAATGGCGTCACATCAGATTTGTCTGTAGTCACGTGATTTTTAACAGTCAGCGTTCAATTACTGAGATGTGCGTGGAAACGCGCCCCTTCCAAGTCTATCAATATTCTGGCGCACACGAACTTGCAAATAGAAATACACCGATTCGAAATGTACGGGCATCCACGTACAGGGTGCACTTCCTTTGCCCACAATGTTACGTCACATGAGAAACCTGTATTGCAAGATATAAACATCTTACTATTGAAAAGATTTAAATTGAGTCAATAATCGATATGTCCGTGTGTGACGCAGATTTACGCGTGCGTGACGTGCAGGCATAGAATTAAGACTAGATCGGCAACGTGAGCGGTCTTCACTAGCTGGCTGAAAGATACAAAAAAACCTGCGTACAGGGCAATACATGGGCGCGATCGTATAACTTTTTGAAAT